TATAGCAAAAGGAAATATTATATTTATTGAACCCGTTACTGTTGTTACTTTAACATGGAAGTCCATTACTATAGTAATACACGTACACAAAGTTTTTTAACCTAATACTTTCTTGGTTAACAGGGTCAAAAAGGAATTCATCTTTAAAATAAGTATAATATTATTAAGAAATGTAAAGTCATTAAAACTTCTTTCATCATTATATTATTATTTTTGTCGTAAATCAACCAGGCAGTCCACCACTATAGTACTGGTTCGAGCCTCAACTCGGCCCAGCGTTGAGTCCATGGGAAAGGACCTTAACATTAATTTCCAATTTGGCTCAGCCCTTTCGGGGATTGACGTTAAGCTCGGAGGTCCTGCCTCTTAAATAACTTAACAGTGCTGATAGAGGGGTGAAACCTATGCCATTTTACAATTTAAAAATAATAATAGTACTGTATGGAGTTTGGAACCTAACACTTTGTTGATTCACAGGGCCAAAAAGGAATTCCACTTTAATACACATTGTACAAAAATAATATTATTTTTTGAAATTTAAGTCATTAAAACTTCTTTCATCACAATGTCATTACTGTCTTTATCTCAACCAATTAGTTTGCTACTTTTACTATAATAACATGAACTATTAAACCTGACACTTTTTTGTTTCACAGGACCAAAAAGGAATTCACCTTTAATACATGATGTACATTATTATGTAAAATGTAAAGTCATTAAAACTTCTTTCATTTAAACCTGACACTTTCTTGTTTCATTTCGCAGGGCCAAAAAGGAATTCATCTGCAAGTACTGCTGCCGACACTTCAGCAAGTCCTACAATCTCCTGATCCATGAGCGCACACACACAGACGAGCGACCCTACCCCTGTGAGATCTGTGGCAAGGCATTCCGGAGACAGGACCATCTCAGAGACCACAGGTACGTGGGCGGTTGGCAGGCGCTCTGCTGTGCTTTGCTCTTTCAATCCTGTCAAACACATGCTATCTTCATTATCTCTCTGAAGAAGAAGAAGAAGAAGAAGAAGAAGAAGAAGAAGAAGAAGAAGAAGAAGAAGAAGAAGAAGAAGAAAAGAAGAAGAGGGGTGAGGGGGAGAAGAGGGGGCGGAGGAAGAGCCCTCCCCGTCCTCCCCTAGAACCCCATAGCTGTTAGAGAGTGGCACCTCAAAGGGGGGTGCCACAGGGATA